AAAATTAGCGTGGGATCTCTAAGAATGGTCCGAGGAGAGTTGTTGAAAAACTCTAAAAAATTAGCCTTTTGTATGGGAATTCTAGCCATGCTCTAACCAAGTATACTTCGAAAGTCTTCTTAGGATTCTCTTATATGAGATAAATTTTATCTAGAAAAAAATCAGTATTCAATTCTCTATAATCCTATATAAAAATATCTTTCGAGAGTCAAAAAAAAAAAATTTTTTTCAAAAAATCGCCCTATGGAGTAGGGGGCCTGTAGGACCATAGTATAATCTGAAGAAGCCTGAAGGAGCTAGGGTGATTTTTTGAAAAAAAATTTTTTTTTTTGACTCTCGAAAGATATTTTTATATAGGATTATAGAGAATTGAATACTGATTTTTTTCTAGATAAAATTTATCTCATATAAGAGAATCCTATGAAGACTTTCGAAGTATACTTGGTTAGAGCATGGCTAGAATTCCCATACAAAAGGCTAATTTTTTAGAGTTTTTCAACAACTCTCCTCGGACCATTCTTAGAGATCCCACGCTAATTTTGTTTTCAGATTGTAGCCCATAGAGAGTACTTCTAATTCCTATAAAGTAGCCCCCTGGGAGATCCATTTCTTGAGAGATAGCTAAGATGAAAAAACCCCAGTTTTAGCTAAAATTTGATTTTGAAAGGCATCTTCTGATCGAATGAAACAACATAGATAGCTGAAATTTTTAGGCACGACATATCTCTCAGTGCTCTATCCACAGCATAAGTTTAACTCTCTACATCAATCCAGTCAAAAGTTATGAAGCACCAAAGTCAGTAAAAAACGACTTTTTCTCGTATATTGAGCACTTCATAAAATCCTAATAACGTTATATTTTCAAACAAAAATATAATGGTAAATATAAATCATAGAGATGTATGTCTGCAACAAATTTCAGCTCAATCGATAAAGCCATTCGTGAGATATTGTTGTATTAGGACACCCCATTAATCGATATGGTTCTATTTAGGACTTTTCGTAAAATGCTCAAAAAAAATCCTAGAATGAATATTTTTTGAAACGACTTGCGTCAAAACTCTTAGAACTTTTCTCTCTATCATTTGCCGAAAATTGAGCAAAATCTGACGATCTCGATTGAGCAGGTTATGTGTAAATCGGTCGTGGCTTATATGGACTGGCTCATAAAAGTTCTACGATTCTTGGAAAGTCAATTCCTTCTTAATAAATGTCTTTTGTTGAATAACTATATAACGGTTACGCAAAAAAAAAAGAAAACTTTATCAACTAATTTATCACATGATATTTATGTGTTTCGTATTCTTGTTTTTTAAATTAAACCTGTGAAGGAATCGATTAGTAGTAATGGTAAAGTGTTAATTTCATGGATAGATTTGTCATTGAAGAAGAGAAAATTTTCGTTTTGTATATGTCAATCTCTGAAGTCAATGATAGTACGTATAATTTTAGTTTGTTTTTCTTTTTTTGGTATTTGAAAAGCCAAATTTTCCGTTAGGGTAGGTCGAAGTATCTCTAAATGTATTAGAAGTGGGTCAATGCTCTTTAGATGCCCTTCGAATGTTTTTCTATCTGTAATATTATCATATGATGTCAACCAACATTTGTTATCTCGCTTGATGGCAACCATCAAGTCAACACTTCGTAAAAAAAAACAACCTAATTTGTGACAATCTATAATATATTATTTTTTTATATAATAACACACATTAGCATTCTAGTGTCACTATAACTATAACTGATGATGATTTCGAATTATCATTTTCATTACAACAATAGGAGAAAGAGTTTATTTTAATGAATTTAAATGTTTATTTTTAAGTTCATAGCAAATCATGTTAAATATTTCTCGATATTGTTAACATCATAAGACAGTTCAATTCTTTTCAATTGTACATCAAGATTCGCATAAGCTTTTCTTTAGTTATTCATTTGTACGAAGTTGTTCAACATCAATCTCAAATCTAAATTGTTCACGTTAGATACATTTAGCAAGTTTAGTAATAAAAAGAATGTTTGATGGATACGCGGTTGTTGAATATATGATACTATTCCTCGATGACATTATTTGATTGCGGCGAGTGTTATATAATTCGCTCGTATACATTCCTTACCATATCCTCAAATCGTGATAATTCATGAATCACAACGATAAGTATTTGCACAATTCCTGTTTCCAAATAACTATAGAGATTGATCTTTGTAAAGTTATCAAATGAAATGTAATGGAGATGAAAAGTAGAGGCACCGATTCCGATATCTTGACAAATGTAAACTAGAGATAGACACGATTAGATTTTATTAGCTAAATTTGATGTAGTTTAGATTAGTATTTTAATATGTAAAACAAGACAAGTTAAAAAAAAAAGCGAAAAAGCTTGGATTTATTTATATACAGTGTATATCAAAATTATTCAACAAGGTTTATTTTCTACTGCCGTAAGCTCTAGAAAGAATTCAAATACTAATTCAAATAGAGAAAATGATTTCCAACAAAAATATAAGGAGATAAAAATTATTATCAGATTCCCAAAGATAGGGACTTTAGAAAGCCAAAATTTACGCGTTCTAAGTGCTGAAAAACTAGAGTATTGGTTTTCTGGAGTTTCTATCTTTGAAAATCTGATAATAATTTTTATTTCCTTATATTCGTTTTGGGTACAATTATCGCTAATCGAATCATTATTCGGATGCTTTCTACTATTTACGGCAGCAGAAAATAAACCTTGTTAAAATATTTTGGTAGCAATTGTATATATACATAATAACCTCTCTTCATACCTTGCAATAGAAAATCCTATGTATATTATTATGTCAAAGAGAATAGATTTTCTACGGCAGTCCTTTATTGAATTCATTTTTTTTCAAATACTAATAATTAAAACGTTTTTCAAGAAAACCGCGACACTTCCGAGTATTCGATAGGATTTTCTATGATTAAAAAGATTTTAAAATCATTTTATTGCAAAATATTAGTTAATTAAATAATTAAGTGAGAATCTTCTATTGTGGTAAGGTTTTCGCATCCATATTGTATGGATGTGTCAATGCTTAAATGAACACCACTCCAATTTAGTCAGCATATCAGTTAGAGACCTGCGGACTTAGAATTTTTAACTTTGAAAACTTTTCTTTCCGTAAATTAGCGACAGCTTACATATATTCAGAGGTATTGTGTAATTTGAGATTAGTGTAATATCACCAACCATATCTGATTTGAGAGTATTGTGAACGAATCAATCGATATTTTAGACAGAAAAATTAAAATTGATTCAATTTTTCACTATCTTTATGTATCCAAGATCTTCTTACGAGAAGAAATTCCAAATTTAATAAGCAAAGAAGACAATCCTGTTAAATTAGTACCATAAAAAAGCTCACAAAATACACCTAAAGTTTGGGATAATTTCCACCAAGTTATGTTACATAAGAAAAAAATTAAAAAAGGTTTTTACAATTTCTATAACTTCGACTAAGTTTGGAGTCTCGTATAGGTCTTTCCTGTTAGTGCCACAATCACTGCCGATCTAATGTAGTCACTAGACTAACTGTTGATAAATCAATGTCAGTATTTTCACTGAAACTGCACATTACTAATTAAAAATTATCAGCTTTAGTTATCTGCAGTAGAATTTTAAACAAATCAAACTTTTGATTCGATTTTTTTGTATTTATTCATTGCTATCTGAAGTTTTGGTTATTCGCATATAATGATAAAGGAATGAAAGAGTAGAGTCACCTAATGATAACGTGAAATAAAAAGAAAAGAAAAAAAAAGAAAGTGCTTTCTTCGTTTCGTTTATTATCAAGGATTTTAGTTATTTTAATAGGTTATCATGACGACATCAAATATCGAAGTGCAAGAATTACTTATTTATCCAATAAAATCTTGTGATGCTATTAAAGTTAATGAAGCACAAACAACTCGTTATGGACTTTCACTTCCATCAAAGCCTTTACTCTCAGATCGGTATAGATTAATATTTCAAAAAAAAAACAAAATAAATCATGAAGTTTATTCTATCTAGACGATGGATGGTTATAGAAGAAGCTAGACAACGTGATCAACGACATATGTCGCGAATGGCATTAATTCAACCAACATTTACTTCATCAGGTTTGCAAGTCAATGCACCAGCAATGCCATCATTAATGATTCCTTATAATCCATTACCAAAAGATATCATAGAAATAGAGTATGTTTTATAAAATTAAACGTTTCTATTGATATTATTGTTTTTCTATAGAGATCTTAATGTTAAAGGTCGAAGATATGGTGGTAAAATTGCAGAATGGTTTTTGACATTTTTAGGAAAACCTGGTTTAGATTTAATTTATTTTGATGAACAATTTGAACCACAACGTACAAAAAATATTCAACGAGAATTTCCAAATGAAGCACTTGATTCAGACGTTGTAGCATATCAAGATATGAGTCCATTTCATTTATGTTCATTAGAATCAATAGATGATCTTAATAAATGATTACCAAAACCAATAGAAATATATAATTTTCGACCAAATATAATTGTTAGTGGTGTTGATAAACCATCTGGAGAAGTAGAATATATATAGTTTCTTATAAAAATAAATATTATATTGATATAATATTTAGGATTACTGGCGAGAAATACAAATTGGTGATCAAGTTAAACTTCGCTGGTTTCGATCATGTTTGCGGTAAGAAAAAAAAGTCTTTAGTTATATATATCTAGAAAGACGACTATAAGTTTTTGACTACAGCATGGGATATATGTAGGTTTGTAGAGATAGACCTGGTCTATGTAATGATGTATGTATTTTCAGATTCTACTGCATACCATTGATGCGAGAATAGGTAGCGCCACCTTCGCCACAACCATGGTAGAAACTTTACTTCTACAAGCCTATATAGGTATATCCCATTCTGTTGTTGAAAATCATCGGAAAACTTATAGTCGAGTTTTGCAATATAATTTAGATGTTTATTACCAACTGTAAATCAAGAAACAGGTGTTCATGATGAAAAGCAAGAATTATGGAAAACACTTCAAACGTAATTTAAATTTATTATTTTTCTGCATCTTTAATCATTTTTTTGATTGTTTTTTTTTTTTATATAGATATCGACGTAAACCAGATTTGTATGGAGTTAAAGCACAATTTGGAATATATCTTGCAACTAATGAAAATGGTATAATTCGTGTTGGTGATCGTATTCGTATTTTACGAGAAGATAAAAACTTTTAGTTTCATCTTCTAGTTTGGTTAATCAAACAGTGAATTAATTTTTAAGTTTTTTTTTATTAAGTAGAGAGAAAATAGATAGATATATGTAGTGGAAGAGAATTTTTGAAGAAGATTATTTTAATAAATAATTTTTTCTTTTTCATAATTGATCAAAGAATTTTGAGTTCATGCAGTTTTGTGATGTCATTCAAGAAAAAGTTGTCGCACCACCACCACGATGAACATTTATGCAGGATTTGTCTTATTTCCATGAAAATCTGTGCTCACTAATAACACAAAGCTATGACTCACAAAACATCTGAAAGTGTTCTTCTTTTAGAGATTTGAATTTAAAAAATCCAATAGAATAAATAGAGGTTTATTAAAGATTGTTGTCGATGAATTTGATGTGCATGTAAAAAAGAAAATTATGTTAGCTTGTTGGCTTAGAAGAATGCTTTTTCAGATAATTGTCTATAAAGAAATTTAGAGAAGTAATAGTTTCGTACCGGTCACTTAAATCGGAAAGATATTGAGGTAGAGTCTTTAGAATCATCTCAAGGGCTTATTCGAAAAACTAGCATGTGTACGAATAATCTTCTAAGTTTGTATAGACTGCACGAATATTAGCGATGAAACATTGATTTCAACGACTCGTTGGTAAGAGCACAATGAGTTCAGATAGTCTAGTATGTTTTCATAGATTTGATCGACATTTGATTGACAAATAGTCAAGGTATGATCCTTTGTTGGAAAAATTTCTTCATCAATTTCGAGCTTCTTGTTAAGAAGCAGGAGGACTTTTGAACAGTTTCTCATCAAGATATATAGACTCTAGATATTGTTATAGTAAGTAGATGAGTACAGATGATTTCGAGTGTTTCTTCATGAAAAGAAAGCGCTTATGGATATTCATCTACTTTCATATAAATTTCACTAAGGTAAATGTATAAAGCAGCTGAATCAGGATGGTTTGAATCAAGTATTTTTCTTTTCGACAATTTTGAACGCGTAATCTAAAAACAACATCGTGTTCGAATACTCTTCCATAATGCAATATGATTTGTTGAACTTGTTATAACAAAATAGCTAAGAAAGGGTAATTTGGAAGAGAAATTTCTTGAGAAACGGTCAAGATTTTCTTGAAGATTGAAACTGCCTTGGAATATTATTGATTACAGAGTCTGTTTTGGTCAAGTTGCAGTGTATGTTTCAAAATTGATCGTGCTTTCAAATACTTTCCAAGATTGCTAAATGGCACAGCAGCACCATTTTACAACGTAGCCCTAGTCCTGTGATTTCAAGGATGCCTTCACCATTTTTAACAAAATCCGAGCTAATGATACAGCTCAATTCTAGTGTTATACGTCGAATACTAAATCGAATAACCGCTGAAAAAGTTCCTTTACTACGCCAAAGTTCGCTAGTCTAATGAACATTGTTTCTAGTCTATAGATTGTTAATTCCCGTCACTTGTAAGTCTGATTTCAACTTGCGACAGTCGGTTTAATTGCTGTCCAATGGCTTGATTACATTAACCCAAAAGACCGTACGCATCGAGAAAAGTTTTTTTTTTCTTCTGAGGAAAAACAGTTAGCATCATCAATGAGAGCAACATGAATAGATAAAACCATTGAATCACGACAAGCGTAAGACAGAATGATCTATCGTTTTTTTTTACTGATTAATAGCATATAATTATAAGCCATCAATTTACCTATAACTTTCATTATTTTAATTTTAAAGTTCGCTTTCGACAAACCTTGTATTTAATATTCTTAACAAACTATGCCGAGTGCAACTATTTAATATAATAATTCAGATTACGAAGTAAAAATATCCACATGAATAAGTGTATCAACTTCTTCAGTATACAGAATTTGATAAAGTAATCTGCTATAAGAAATACTTGAATGTGTGCCACTGCATTACTATTCGTAAAATAATATTTACATTCGAATTTAGCTATATTATTTAATTCTTAATTATAATCAGAAGAGTATTTTCGCCATTTATCATACAAAGAAAATAAATCTAATGAGAGAATTCCTCCGTCTGATAAATCGTTTTGCAGTCGATACTATATAGATCCAAATGAGCTATGAATACTCTGAAAAGAGTTCCCATTCTTAACCTACTACTGCAGAGATACTGCACTTTTTCGATATTTTTTAAATGAATGTCGTAGTAACAGAAGAACTGATTTTTGAATTTCAACTTGAAACTTTGTATAGAGACAGCTCTTAACGAGAATAGATTCAAAGTTTCAAGTTGAAATTCGAAAATCACTTTTTCTGTTACCACATCATTCATTGAAAAAATGCTGTAAAAGTGCCGTACTCTACGGCAATAAACTAAGACCACGAACTCTTTTCGAAATATTCATAGCGGTAAGAGAAATAAAGTAGTTCGAATCGAAACTCTTAATTGTAGTTTTATTTTCTATAATTTTCAGTAAATTACGCTATATTGATCAAAAACATGAGTGTTTAGAACTTCATCTCAAATTATAACATACAAAAAAATTTTAACCACGCAATTGATATCAAATTCAGACATTGATTTCATATATAAGTCTTGTTTTGTTTATCATATACTTTCTCAATGTTCTTCCAAGATAACGATCAAATACAGGGTGTCCCAAAAGTTCTGTTGGGATAAGAAATTGAAGTATCTCCACCAGATGTCGACCAAATGAGCTGAAATTTTTACCAGTGATAGAGACATATTGAAATTTTATATCCATAAAGACATATCTAGAGAGGCCCTTTGTTAAGTATCACTATTGACTTCAACAGAGAAAATTTACTTTTTCACAGATAGGAAAAAAAACAGTATACAGAGTGTTGCAAAAGTCACTTTGCCGAATAAAAAATTGAATATCTCCATTACAGCTCGAGCAAACAAGTTGATTTTTCTATCAATGATAGAGGCATGTCCAAGCTTTATATTCATAAAGACATGCCTAGAGAAACTCTTTGCTAAGTATAGTGTTTTTTTTCCTATCTGTGAAAAAGTAAATTTTCTCTGTTGAAGTCAATAGTGATACTTAACAAAGGGTCTCTCTAGATATGTCTTTATGGATATAAACTTTCAATATGTCTCTATTACTGGTAAAAAAATTTCAGCTCATTTGGTCGACATCTGGTGGAGATACTTCAATTTCTTATCCCAACAGGACTTTGGGACATCCTGTATATAAGAATTCATTATGAAACTATATTTTATTTTTTGTTCGATTGTTCAAAAAAAAATGCATTTGAAACATAGAACAATAAATGCCATTCGTTCATTCATTGTCAATTTAGACTATATAGAAGAAAGTTCATCATTATTCTCATTGATGACGTCGGTCAAATAGAATAAATAAATATATGGGTATAAATATTGACATTTATGAACTAAAATGAATAGATACGTGAAGATAAACATGGAACATTCATGTAGTAAATTGAATGTTTTGCCTGATGAAATTTTTTTGATTATTTTCAAAGAATTGAACAATCTTGAAGTACTTTACTCTTTCACGGATGTCAATAAACGAATAAATAAAATTGCACATGATCCAATTTTTGCTAGTCATTTATCCTTGCTAAGACATTGCTCAGATCATTCCATCAATCCATTAAATGATTCAATGCTTGATCGATTTTGTTTACAAATTTTACCTGAAATTCATTATAAAATCAAATGGCTTGATCTTGAATCATCATCTATGGAACGTATTCTTCTTGCTACAAATTATCCGAATTTATATGGATTTGGTTTATATAATCTTGACGAAGAAATAATTAGATCTCTCTTTATCGGTAAGATATTTTACTTAAATTCTCATAATTCTTACACAAATGAGAATTATATAAAAAAAAAATTAGTACAATTCGTTTGATTATATATTTAATTTAGTTGAGTAGATCATTGAATATTTTCATAATAAATTAGTTTTATCTGTAGTTTATATTTGGTTAAATATTATGAATAAGAAAAAAGCCTTTTTAAAAAAAATATGACTATTGATTTATAACAGAAATAAGATTTTTCACGCATATATTTCAGTTTATTAAAATAAAGTTTTAAATAAAGAAATAATAAATATGAATATCTGATAATATTTAGAAGAATAATAAATTTTTATGTTACAAAATTAATTGAAAAAGATTAAAAGAATCTTCCTACAATTTGATCAATCTGGAAAATGATTAGTCATTTGTTTTTAATATTTTCTATATATTTTTAGACGAAACTCTATTAAATCACATATGCAAAAATCAAATTTCATCACTTATTGTCGATATTAGAGAAAAAAAAGCATGCATTTCAACAGATAATGTAATTAAACGTGTATTTATACATATTTTGACTATGTTTAATAATTTAAAATATTTAAATTTTGGTCAATCATTACGTTATGACCGATTATCATTTTATTTGTCACCTCCAACTGTTATCTCTTCTACTCTCTTAGAATTGTATGTTAATTTGGAATATTTTTCCGATTGTCTTTATTTACTTGATGGACGTTTCAATCAACTTCATACACTTTATGTTGATATTGCTGATATTCTTCGGTTTCAGTCTTCTGATTCACAAATAATTGAAAAAATTAATCAAGTAATTAATATTTAATTTATTTGAATGAAGTAATATTTGTTCTTCTTTTTCTAGGAAAAATTACCTAATCTCAGATTTTTTTCACTATATTGTGATTCGTATATAAATGTTTATGATGAATTAATTGTACCACTTTTACATCGAATGTTAAATTTAGAAAAACTCAGTTTATATCTTTTAGTTGATAACAGAAACACATTTATTGATGGGATTGAGTTGAAGAAGAATATTATCAATCATATGTCACGTTTAAACAAATTTGTATTTAGTATTTGCACACTCATGCTTCCTCGTAATCAGACTGATTTACGATCAAATGAAGATATTCAACATACATTCAATGATTTCCAAGATAGTCAAATTATTTCTTGTATTGATTATTTCAAAGAAATAAGAATATATAATGAATGTCATATTTATTCATATCCATATAAATTCAAAGTTTATAAAAATATTACAAATAATTTTCCAGGTGGATTATATAAATGTGTTCGTGAAATGTCATTAATGGATGAACGACCTTTTGAACATGAATTTTTTCTTCGAATTGCTCAATCATTTCCGTTTATGGAAAAATTAACTGTAGTTAATGAGAAACCACAAAATAACAAACTATTTAGTGAATCAAAGAATGACAATCAAGGTTTATCAATCATTAAATATCCTCATCTTACTGATCTTATACTTTATGAAGTTCATGATGATTATATAGAACAATTTCTAGTTGATACGAAAATGTGTTTGTCGAATAACATGGATCTTTCTATTCAATATGAACCACTTAGAAGAGTGACACACAATTTTACAAGATATGCAACACGATTTAATTGTGCAAAACTGAATTCTTTATATTTGAATGGTAAAGGTCGAGTTCGTAAACATGTAAAAGCCTATTTTCCTCACACGGAAATATTGTGATTATTATCAATGATTGTTTAAATAAAGTTGATTTATATAGAATCTAAATTATATTTTACAAATGTTCTTCTTCAGGAACTTTCATATGATTGCTCACAGAACGAAAAACAGGTATACATATTTAAGTATATATATGTACGTCGAATATGTCCATGCATTATATATATCTATCTATATATATATGTCAGTCGTATTTTATTTTATTTTATTTTTTCTACGCACGCAGCAAAAGCACATTAGACTGCTCCTATGTGTCCATGGATATGACATTAGATCAGAAATGAAACCTTCTTCAGTTGGAGAAATCTTTATTGTTCTCAAAGTTTAAGAGGGGTCTTATAATTTTTGGACCATCTGTATATTAAAGTAAAGTCAAATGAAACGATATGTAGAAATGAANTGTAAAAGTAACATGAACCCGAATAACTCCATCCAGTTAGAGCACCGGCTTCAAAACCCCCATTCACAATTAATTGTGTCAAACCATGATAAACATTAACATCGTCTAGCATCCAACCACCGGGATCATGACGAAAAAAGAAGGATAATGTTGCTGATGATCCAGTTGCTACCCAAGTGTATGCATAACAAGTGTAACTAGGATAAGCGAATGATGCTGGGTTTGTAACAGAAAACAATGTTCCACTTGATCTTGATTGAGGTGTACATGGCGGAACAGCGGTAACTAGAAATATAAGAAAATAATTTCGTCTTATCCCTGACAAATGAAAATTACAGAAAGATTTGTGCAAAAATCACTGTTATATAATGATATTTGGAACATCTGTTTATTAAAAGAGCTGTTCTCTAGACAACATTTCTTCAAAATAATTACGTCTTTTGTGTAAAACGACTGTGCATAAGTGTTTAAATTTAAAACGAGTGCAATAAAACCTCACTAGTCTGCCTCGCAGATTGTAACAGACATTTCTGTCACGCGATTTGTGATTATCAGAAGACTATTAAAGTTTTCGTCTTAGGTCACTGAAACGAATTTGAAAGGAATATCAATGCTCTTCGATCATTACTCACGTGGTTTCGTTATGTTTCACATTCTAATCTCATATAGATCGCACTGGAAGCTCTTTGTGATAGAAAGCAGAAATTCAAACAAAGCAATAATATTTCCTACACAAAGTGGATCGAATAAAACGCTATTTACAGTTCTACACGTTGGATAGTAAGAGTTACGTCATCTCATTGGGTGATTCTATTCGTACCTACATAAAAACTGCTTTTTCATTTTTCAAGATCAATTTTATCAATGCATGGAAAATAAGAAAAAAAGTAAATTACATTATTTGAACATATTCACTTTCATAGTTAGGTATGGACGCAATCAAATATCTACACAAATGACGATACTGAGAGTGAGAGGATGCTCAATGTGCTCAACATAACTCGTGACAATATGTCATTTATATTATTATTATGCCCACTCTCATATTCAAAATCCTATTCGACAGAGTTAAGCGTGTCAGAATTACGTAAGTGCCAAATAAGAATATATGATGGTATACGTAACCTGTTGTAGTAGTTGCTATCGTTGTTGTTGTCGCACCTGGAAACAACAAAGACGGCAATGATCACTTGGAATTATCAATGAGAAGTTTATTTTTTATGACACACAACATACTTGTACATATGGAATATTTCTGGATGCGAAAATTATTCGAATCAGCCACATACAAGTTTTTGTTTGCATCAAATGTAATTCCATTCGGATATTTTAAAGTAGTTGCAGTTGAACCTGACACTCCACTAGTACCTGCTATGAGTATTCCAACAGTTGCTCCACTAGCCCACATCACGATTCGATGATTATTCGTATCCGAAATGTAAAGATTTCCACTTGAATCACTAATAACTGCTTGAGGATTATACAATTGATTGAGAGCTGATCCATACGAATTTCCACCAGCTACTGTGGTGCCAGTTGTTCCTCCAATAGTCCATCGTTGCACTCGGTGATTTGAACTATCGACTACATATATAATCGATCGATTGTTTACGTCTATGTAGATACCCATGGGATTACTAAATTGATTTCCCGCATTTCCATTCCCATTGTTACCCGCTATGACAATACCAGTTGAAGATGAATTGAGCTGTTTCATTACTCGATTATTATTAAAATCTGAATAGTAGACAGTTCCATTTGTATCAACCCAGACACCATAACAAAGATTTATTTGATTCAAATTCGATCCTTGACCATTCCCTTCCAAATAAAAAACAAAGGCGTTTGTTAATAACAATAAAAGGTTTGATAACTGCTTGATAACCCATTTATATTCAAGTTGTTCAAAACGCTTTTGAAGCTATATCGGTAAAGCCTTTTAAGAACAGTAATCTCTATGATCGACACGGGGTATGACATCAATCAAGAGTAAAAAAAAGATCATAGCTGTGAGAAAAAAACTTGAGGCAATGAAGGTGAAAATATGTGATGCGCTCGAAGAAGAAAAGAGCTTTTTTCTCAACAAATACCTTCTTTCATCTTCCTACACAAGTAAATCTATGATATTAGAAAATCGTATTCAAGCACGATTATTTTCAAAAGTATGAGTGCCTGCAATGAGCGGCCAAGAGAAAAAACTCAGATTGAAATTTAGGTTCACTATTTTATAGTTCATAGTACCATGTTCTACCAGAATTAATTAGTATTCCCGGATAGTTTGTAAAATCGATGCACTAGATATTAACTCTCAGGTCTCATACTATAATAAGCTATTTTAATTCGATCCGATAAGTACCGAATAGTGTTCAGTAAGTCATTGGCTAAGTACGTGATGTCACTAGGGTTAATCAGGCGCCAGAAAAGCACCAAACCAAACTACTTGGAAAATATTTTCTGGGTTGAAAAGACGAGAGCGAAATTTTTTGTCTTAATAACCGAATAGTCTAATATTCTACAATGATGAATTCTCAGTAACCACGCTTTCGATTGACGAACTTTTCTCAATAGTCACAAGAAAATATGATTCCTCCGAAATATGGCAAAATCAAACTAAACAACTAACACAGAAGACAAAAACTGACACTAACTATCGTGAGATTTTCAATAAAATGCCAACCATTCGTTTGTAGAATTCACTAAATCGAGTACTGACTGTAAATTTTAAGATGAACCTCAAGATCTCTGTCCTCAATTCAACAGACACCTGCTCCATAAAGACAATTCCTTCTCACAATCACTACTGCTGGATATATAGGTTTCCTTCAGCACAGTTGTTTTACTGTCAACCTAGCAAGATGATTAGCTTACAGGTTTCCTTCGAAAAAGATGCTTTTCTTGTTGAGCGTATTAACTATTGTGATTTTGATAAATGTTTTTCTGCATGTCAGTGCGCTTTTAGTCTTATTGGTAACTACCATATATCAATTTGAATTTCACATTTGCATTCCAACGAAGAATCTGATGACAAGATTTTGTGAATATGTCTCAAGCAGACTTACACAGGTTAGTTGAACAATTGTTTCATCGTCCGCGTCAAAGATTTTTAATTTTTCAAGAACAAGTTTTTCCAAAGCATAACAAAGTTCAATGCTTTGAAATACTGATCTATTGTTTTTTATAATTGTCTCAATGGTTGATCGACATGAATCGCGTATATGCTGCTAATACCATGCCTATTTCTCTCGATTCAAAATAGAAATGAAACAACCAAAAATTCGAAAACTGGACACTTTCTGAATCGAGACGCGGCAAGACGACTGCACTGGATGCGTGTATATGTGTAGTATTCATTAATCTTCATGAGCCCCTTCATGAGTATGTTAAGTGGACGTTTTTACGAGCTTCCGTAGGAATCTAGACTCAATCTACATAAAAACCTCAGTATTAAAATTGCTGTTTTGCTTATGTGACAGTTAGATCGTTTTATCATTTCTGTAGAATTTGAACTTGATCGCCCATAGACACTTGTGAAAATGTCTAGACAATCGTATCCATGAAGAATTTCTTTGAATTCAATAAATATTGTAAAAAGAGACGTTGCCTTAATAAAAATGTTCAATAACCAGAACCTTCCATCGATTTCTGAACAAAGGTCGAAAATATTAAAACAGTAGTGGTCTGTGTTTTAGCGAAAATCCGACAATAGTAACAGAATCTTACACTCATATCTCTGAGGAATAATAGACAATTCAAAATTTTAAGTGGTGTTCATGTAATTTGTTTTTCTTTGTCCTCCAATGATTTCATTTTCTGTTACTCAGTAATGTATAATCAGTGTTGGCACGTTATTGATACACATAGCATATCTTTGAAAGTAGAAGAATGTTTCTGCGTGGTTACCCTAGCCTATTTTTCTACGCTATCATATTCTACAGTGGGGTTGATATGTTGGTTTAGAAATGTTGTATAAAAATAGATTATAAATTTCAGCTGTTCAATACGACTTCAGTCCAACATTTAGGAGCTTTTTGATATGAAAATATGACAAAGTCTCATTGCGTAAACAAGTTCGAGAAGAAGTGATTCTTTGTTCCCCAGTCATGGATCTATTTTTGCCCCAGAACAATTGGTCTGACTGAAACTTTCAGACGATGTGTCTCTACATGTAAATAATTGATAGAAAAACATTTCATACCAAAATCTTAAGCTGTACAAAAGTAATCATGATATAAGGGACAAAACATAGGTACTCACTTGGTAAGAATCTGTTGTCTGAATTGAACGATACGAATTTTGCGTTCATTATAAAGTGTAGTCTTGACTTTTGGTGGACGCTTATCTCAAAATATTCGAAAATTTAGGGATACTACCATGAAAAATATTAATTTCTTCAAGACATGCAAATAAAAAGAAATTGTCTCGGGTAAGTTCTATAATGCCATTTTCTCTTTAATTAAAAAGCTTTCTAAACTTCATGGGATCTAAAATCTCAGAGAAATCTCGAACTCAAGGACAATACAAAACTGCAAAACCTATTTCGAAAAAATCGTGTATTTAACTTCGATGTCGAAAATTAATTAATTTTTTCCTATAAGGTTCTGAGAAAATGGACATGAAAGATGTTGAACGATGTGTGGCGCATGTTTATAGATGCATTATATTTAATTTCTGCATGTTACAGACATCTAGTGAACCTCAGAAGTTAGGGATGAATGAGATTCTAAAAACATCTTTGGAGTATGACTTCTTCATGAAAATTACTGTAAGATCCTAGCGTATCAGTGTGTAAAGCTCGAAAAATGCTATTCTAGACGAAAATTGAAATTTTTTAGTAGAAAGACTTAAGGACTTGCTCTTTCCAGGCTTCTGAAGATCGACACAATCGAAAATTCGGAAAATTCAGAGTAAATCGGTCTTGGATCATAGAGAAAAAATCGTTGTAGAGAGAAAAATTCAGGATGTTTTCTTGGAAATACTCGAAGTGTAAGTCTCAAATATATTTTAGTGAAAAAAAATTCGTTAAATACGTCAAGATTACGAGTGTGAGATAAAGGTATGACTGTGAATTGCATAATTGTTCCTGACAAAAAAGCTAGTCTGCCTGAATCTTCCTGGCATACGCCTATAGACCATTCGAAAGATATATTGCTTAATTCTGGCCTAGCTTGATATTGGACACTAGCAAGTTGGTGCAGACCAGACGAGAACATAGTAGCATGTTGCCATCCATGATTTGCGCACCTTTCTCTGAACAATAATCATATAGAGACTGCTAGTATACTGAACCTTTATATCATTAAAATTTGACCAACCATGAAAATGTTGCACAAGTACATATAAGAGCTGACCATGGTCTTTATGTAAGAAAAAGAAAACTTTCGAAGCTGGGATAGGATGATAAATAAGGCACATACAAAACATATGCGAAAACGTTAATGTTTCTTCAAGCGACTGTATCTGCCTAGACTCGAAGAATCTCTACAAGAAAATCATTGTTCATATAGATACAGCAAAAAGAAAAAATGAGTTTAAAAAAATATTTGTTTGTTTAGATAGTCAAACTATTCTGCTCTACAAACTTATAAAAGAAGCCATGATAAATTCGATTAATGAATGACTAACAATTGACAACTTATTTTGATGAAAAATTGCATATTACCTCCCGCAACTGTAATGCCAGACAATGAATTGTAGTTAAACTTTTGTATTCGATAGTTGTAAACATCGGAAACGAACAATGTGCTTGAAAGAACAAATATAGCACGGGGATAATTGAACATAGCTGATGTTGAACCAATATTACTGACTACTCCAGCTACCGTCTGACCGACCAATGAGTTTGATGCGAATCGTTGAATTCGTTGATTATCTGCATCAGCAACATATATATTTGAAAAGACGTCGATTGCGACATCATTAACATAGTTGAGCAAAGTTGCATTTGTGCCTTGTATACCTGTGCTACCAGCCACAGTTATACCAGTTGAATTCCAGCTGCTGCCTGGTGTACATGAGGTGACTGAAATCGAAAAGTGGAGTTGCTATGAATCAAACAATAATCTTGCTTATAAACTCTATGAAAGTATAGAAGAAGCACGAATATCAAGTTCTTTTGTCTTGAAACTTTCGTCTTTTTTCTACTTCAGTTGAAACTTTGTTTGACTCCTGTTGTTTTCTACCTCACCAATCTTCACAAAAAATGATCGAATCTTTCCTCATCCTGATACTCTGGCAAGCCTTCCTCAATAGAGACACGTATGTTGCATGAATGATAGAAAAACAATTCTTACAAGAAATCAGGGAGGATCATAAGGGAACGATCATGTTTTATTTCTGATATAATTCTGTAGTTATTTTCCTCAATCCAGCTATGTTCAATCTTGATTGCTGGTGTAGTACGAGAAGCCAACAGCGGAGACTTCTAGCTTCAAATGTCATAAAGTCTTGACGTGTGGGTGCGCACATAGCTGATGAAGAGTGATTGTGTAAGTACTGGTCTCCTGTTCACCCACAACCACAAAAATGATGTGCAGATCACCATATCATTTAAGCTGCCAAACAAGTCGATTTCGCATCCGAGTCTCCAGTAGAAGATAATTCGTCAAAATTTCCAAATCTCTGTGAAACAGTAGCGATTGATGGATCACTTGTGTGTCAATCGACTCCTAATCACACAGGTAGACTCATGCATTCCATTGATGTACAACTAGGCAACATATTTTCCAGTATGTATTCGAGCACGTTTCTTACTTTCACTAATATCTAGTTCTCTCCAACATATGGTTCCTATCTAGAATGTCCTAGCGAAGAACAACATAGCATGCGATTTAGTACAATCGTAAGTGGTTAAAGCCAATAATATGAATCTTCTATTATGCATTACCCCCGTATTGAGTTTTGATGAAAAACGTCAAAGGTTTTAGATATACTCTTTATAACTGAGATGTGGAGGCCCTGAAACTGTCAATGGCATAAGATGTATTTTTCGAAATTGTCGAAATCGTGCTGTAACAATCCCCTTCTTTTAACTGTGTCACGCTTTCCGCTAAACGTAAATGTCATGGTCTTGATGTTTTCTAAAACACTAGACAACATAATATCCGTACTCTCATGCATCTTTACGAGTAACGTCAATACCTGTAGTTGTTGCTCCAGTTGTTGTCGTGATCAATGCTGTTGTTGCAACAGTTGTTGTTGCAGCAGTTGTCGCTGCAGCTGTTGTTGTTGCGGCAATAGTTGTTGCAGCTGTTGTTGTTGCGGCAATAGTTGTTGCAGCTGTTGTTGTTGCGGCAATAGTTGTTGCAGCTGTTGTTGTTGCGGCAATAGTTGTTGCAGCTGTTGTTGTTGCGGCAGTTATTGTGACAGCAGTTGTTGTTACAGCAATCGTGGTGGCAGCAGTTGTTGTTGCGGCAATAGTTGTTGCAGCAGTTATTGTAGAAGCAGTCGTTGTTACGACAGTTGTCGCTGCAGCTGCTGTTGTTGCAGCAGTTGTCGCTGCAGCTGTTGTCGCTGCAGCAGTTGTTGTTGCAGCAGTTGTCGCTGCAACTATTGTTGTTGCGGCAGTTATTGTGACAGCAGTTGTTGTTACAGCAATCGTAGTGGCAGCAGTTGTTGTTGCGGCAATAGTTGTTGCAGCTGTTGTTGTTGCGGCAATAGTTGTTGCAGCTGTTGTTGTTGCGGCAATAGTTGTTGCAGCAGTTGTTGTTGCGGCAATAGTTGTTGCAGCTGTTGTTGTTGCAGCAGTTGTCGTTGCAACTATTGTTGTTGCGGCAGTTATTGTGACAGCAGTTGTTGTTACAGCAATCGTAGTGGCAGCAGCTGTTGTTGCGGCAATAGTTGTTGCAGCAGTTATTGTAGAAGCAGTCGTTGTTACGACAGTTGTCGCTGCAGCTGCTGTTGTTGCAGCTGTGGTTGTAGCAACAGTTGCTGTAACAACAGCTGTGGTAGCGGCAGTCGTAGTAATTGTTGTTGCTATTGCTGTCATCACTCCTGTGATAGTCGCACTAGTTGTTGCAGATGTGACTGCTACAACAAGAAGCATAATATGAATTGTTGTTTGATTTGTGTTCCTTTGGAAAACATATCAATTCATCAAGTATTTGTCACTACTAAGCATGAACTTGAGGGTGTGGGTATAGATGACAATATTGTTGTGAATTATGCTCTTATCCTCACAGATAGGCCCCCATTTATACACCCTGAATTACACCTACATACCAACACTGACACTCACACCCACATGCCTGTATCAATGTTCTTCAGCTTACACTACTGGCCAAAAGTACCCCCCTCGGATCTCAGCTACTATACGAGCTATGGCGCTGAAAATTGGAGTTTCTATGGTTCTCGATAAATGTAGATCAGTGGCGAAACCCGCGTCTCGAAGGAGTAAGTCACAAGAGAGTTATTAGGCAAGCGGTCTGTCGCCATTTTAGACTATAACTTGACAACAACAAGATGTTTTGAGCTGGGAGTTTCGCCATTTTAAATGCCCTGTATATTGGCTGTCTCTGATAAAAATTTCATCGAAATTCATAGGGTCAGTGTGAAACTAAATTCATTTTACTATGGACATGGGTAACAAAAAACCGTCAGTTCTCAGTGTGTTACCCAAAATTCAGTCTAGGATTAATAGATAGACCTCAAATTTGCAGCATAGAATACCGTGCATATATGCAGCATTCACTCAAATTTTCAGGCTTATATCACATACTAGAGGAAAATCGCACTATGTTAAAGGTGCAGATGTTGTCATATGTTTAGATACTCGAATACTCAAGCAAAGGACTTCATCTTTGGACTATATAAACAGCACCTCTAGAGACACAGTCCTATCGAAACATAATAACAAATTTCGCAAGGTAACACAGAAAACAAGACATGATATTTTTTAGTCGCTTTTTTCACTATAGGAACCCTTTTCTGTTATTGTTCTACGCTCTTGAGAAAATATCCTGAAGAGAGGTTTTTGCTTATTGACAAGACTTGAAGGCTATTTACTCATCAGGATCGCATCCGTCGACGGTCTTCTGAGTGCTTTCGTGGTGATGATGAGTCAGTACAAGTATCATAGTGAGAATTAGGGCGATAGTACATGTATGATTGTGAAAAGGATAAGATGCTCACATATAATGATAATGGTGTCTATAGTAAAAGAAAAAACGACTAAAAAATATCATGTCTTGTCTTCTGTGTTACCTTGCGAAATTTGTTATTATATTTCGATAGGACTGTGCCTCTAGAGGTGCTGTTTATATACTCCAAAGATGAAGTCCTTTGCTTGAGTATTCCAGTATCTAGACCTATGACAACATCTGCACCTTCAGTATAGTGCGATTTTCCTCTAGTATGTGATATAAGCCTAAAAATTTGAGTGAATGCTGTATATATACGCGGTATCCTATGCTGCAAATTTAAGGTCTATATGTTAATCCTAGACTGAATTTTTGGTAACACACTGAGAACTGACGGTGTTTTGTTACCCATGTCTATAGTAAAATGAACCTAGTTTCACACTGACTCTATGAATTTCGATGAAATCTTTATCAGAGATAGCCAATATACAGGGCTTTAAAACGGCAAAAACCCCAGCTCAAAACATCTTGTTGTTGTCAAGTTATAGTCTAAAATGGCGGCAGACCACTTGCCTAATAATTCTCTTGTAACGCACTCTTTCGAGACGCGGGTTTCGCCACTGATCTACATTTATCGAGAACCATAAAAACTCCAATTTTCAGCGCCACAACTCATATAGTAGCTGAGATCCGAGGGGAATGATAGTTTTGGCCAGTAGTATATGTCATTCATTTGGCAATGCTGTGCAGAAATTGAAATTTCTTTGAAATTGGAATTCATCATGTGCTAAAATATCCGCTAGGTGAGTACGTCGCAAGGTATTTCTGGCAGACTTTTTGTCGTGGTCAATTCGTAGCATGTAAAATAAGCGGTAATCTATATTGCACATTCGCAGATATTATTATATGTAGGCATGAGCAACCATGTGTATGCATTAGCCAATGTGACTCAGCGGGAGCCACTAACAGAAAGTGCAAGTGCGTATGCTTGAGCCACAATAGGTGGAACTAAGCGTGGCTGAGGATAAATGTTGTGGTGAGGTCTGAGATATAAACCATACCTACTATCCAAGTTGAGAGAAGTCCATGTACCCTCATCTACCGTGGTCCATGCTCTCTCTGTCTTGCTTCAGCTCACTATTCGGCATTTTCGGTCTATAATAATGGTCGCGCTTAGTCCTCCTGACTTTTGCCTACTCACAGAGATTGTGCTAGCCACGTTGACCTCTCACATGTACATACTAGCCTGAAGTTTATCTTACATACGATAAATTACCATGTGAAGATATGGCGTGTAATGAATTATTTCGGGTGTGGACGTGGGTGTTGAAGTTATCTCTTATCCCACACCCCATCCCACCCCCACCCTACCCCCAACCCCTACCCCACACCCCGCACCCTACACTCCACACCCAACCCACACCGAACCCACACCCACACCCAACCCACACCCAACCCACACCCTATAAAGCCAAGTTCGAATCATTTTGAAATATAGCTGCAGTTATTGTTCTGCAGGAATTTCTGTTCTACTGTTTTTAATCCATGATCATGTCATGCTAGTGAATTTTAGGAATTGAAAGTTGTACCATGCATCCTGGTTTAATGTTGAATAAATTGCTGTGAAAAGGAAACGATAAAAGATCTTCAATCTATTATTGAGGCTATGGATGGGCAAATGAATGAAGAAAAGATATGCACCCACCCATAACTTGAAGTTGGATTTGAGGATGTGAATATTGAGCTAGCCGATATCTACAACTATCTTCATATACATATCCTCATAATGTCCTGAAACTGAGTTTCGCAATCACACAATATGGCGATTCGCCAAAAACATCGATTTCATACATTTGTGTGAGACTGTATAGTGCAATTGATGAATGAAAATCAAAGCCATAGAATTCTGAAACTTGCTCAGTCTACACTATTCAGGTCTAATATTTTGTGAAACGCCATCTAAAAGGAGTGTTGACGTAGATAGGATAAATATTTGCAGCCCCTCCCCCTCCCCTTTTATTCATCGGTCTCCCAGACCGTGATAGACGTCAGCCAGGCTCATCACAGGCAGCGAAAGATGGTTTTGATGAACGATTACTGATTATGTATGAGTAATCTCTCATGAAAGTATATTAATTGCTTCCTTTTTGTAGTTGTAGAGAAATAAGTAAAGTTCATGAAAAATGCGTCAGCAGATAGTCGAATAAAACAATATTCTGATGATGAATAACAGCAGCTATATCATGTTTCACATTTTAGTTGCGCAGAGATTTTGCTAACAGTTTTTGTATTCATGACCAACTCTTGTCAATCTTTCTGCTGTCAAAATGTAGGAGTGATCGTGTGCCAGGACCATAGACCGAACGTGAGTCGAGCCAAATATGCAGGACTCGACTATTCAGACACCTCAAATAATATTTTTCTCTGGTGATGCCACCAATGGATTGAAATAATGTTTCGATTGATGTGCACAGTCGAAAGTGAAAGAATAGCACTTTGTCGTTTTTTCGGCGCTTCATGTCTGTTTTTAGCCTGATTCTATGTCGAAAGGTTTTGCTCGAATCAAATCACAAACTCCCCCAATGGTTATTCTATATTATCTTCATTCGTCCTCTTCTCATATATTTTACTCACTCCAGACGTATAATTGTCATGCATTTCGACGCTTTAAACATCTGATAGCTTCAGGCCCAGCGTACTCCACGCGACAATCTATAATTGATGCACATAATAGAGAGAGAGAGCGAACCATCGATCATGTAAAGATTTGAAAATGTTCGCCTAGTAGATTTTTGAAAATCTAAATAACCTGCGTGGTTCGTCAGAGAACAGACTTTCAAAGTCTGACTACTATAGTTGTGGAAATAGTTGAGAAAGAAAGCAAAACTGTGGCTACCTCCATGGAAACGAAATTATGATCAATAATGACTGATGCATATTTTTGTGTCGATACTCGGGAACTCGACTCGACTAGAGTTGAGTCAGAACCTCCAGAGATGTAGACCGAGTCGAGCCGAGTCGAGTCTTGATTTTTCTGACTGGTTTCGGTCTATGACATGGACAAATCATTTCTCGTTTTAACATTTTACGTAATCGTGGCTGTTCGTGAAATTAGCTCGAGGAGTTAGATCTACTGCTGGTATTACTTTTTGATTTTAGACTGATCGTGCGTTTTACAATTGCTTCTCGTAAGTTCATGTTTGAGCGACGCAAGGAATGATAATAGACTTTGATCTATAGTGCACAATTGCTAGTGATTGTGAGCACAGATTTTCAAAATAAACAATATGTCAAAAATGACAGCAGCAAACTACGCAGTTGCTATTTTTTTGAAACACTGAATCTCATGAGAATTATATTTGCCGAAGACGAAAAGAGTTTGCCTATAACGAAGATCAATAACTATTGGGTACATTGAACTTCAACCTGAATAATGAATATTCAACATCTTAACAACTTTATGTTCGACAAGATTCACACTTTGACAAAATATTAGGAGTGTTTAGATTCTACTACATATGGCAAAAGCTTCCGCTCGAACAACTATTGCAGTGCGGAGAAAAAGAAGATCTATCACCTCACCAACATTTTTCAATACAACTCAAAAAGTTGATATATTCACTCCTAAATTCTGCGCACACAAATCTTTATTAAGCTAGATTACTGTCATGGTTTGGTACATATTTTCACAGTATGAACCCACTAACAACGACGTGCCTTCAGTGATTCCTCATACAGTAAAAAGAAGATGCTACTTGTCATATGAATTTTAATCAAATAAACAAAACAAACACGACGCAGTAAAAAGCAGACTTTAGCCTACAAAACATCTTTCAAATTGAGAGGCATGTACACAGAAATGAATGACTTACTGTTCTAGATCCTAACTGTTTAGTTCTATGAACACTCTATTTAGATAGAACATTTGGTTGATCGAATGTAATTTATCCATATGTACTAAATTTTACTGAAATCTTTCGTAGGTGCATCGCTATTATAGATCGTTAAATAAGGATCTCCAATTACATAATCAAAGCGATTTCTAAAGCATGTTGAAAAGTGTGCAATCGTTAGTCTTTTTCTAAATGTACTTAATAAAGCATGTTTGAACTTTTTCCATCTACCATAATTAAACAATGAAGAGACTCAATCTGAGGTAGAGCATAGTTCATGAAATAGGGACATTCTTAACTGAAATGATGGATCACTTCAAAGAGTGTGGGTATGGGTGTATAGTCGTTCATCAGTAAATTCACTATAGGTTCTTCAAAGTGCTATCAAAATAAGATTCACTATATACCAATCGGCGCGCCTCAAAAAGTTCTGCAACACGGTATATTTGGTTTTTCATTTCTCAATAGGTCACCTTATCCGAAAAGATCCACCAAACACCGTGACCAAAATATTTAGCATGCTCAAAGTATAATTTTTCCAAAGCTTTGTGTGGATGCTGCTTTTCTTTTCGATCGATCAGCTGCCGAACTCCTGTGTCATATGCGCAGAGCCGGTACCTGACTTCTGCTTTTATTGCTAATAGAGGTATGCTCGCCAAAACTTTACCTGCTATTTGAGTAATTGCAGTGCCCGATGTTGTTTGACTCACTACTACAACTGTTGTTGTATCTGTGCTCGATGAAGGGTTGCGTGTAGTGAAAATTGCCACTGGTAGAACTATCGCTGCACAAGTCGCAATAATTATTAACGAAATTGCCGCTCCTTGTGTGATCGACATTGACGTTTTGTTACTTAAAGACACAAAGTTTCTCCAACAATGAATTTCGGACCACAAAGGTACTTACATTGCTGAAGATTTATTTCCAACATTCGGTACATGATCCAAGTTGGCTCGGATAACGTTAGGTCTTTGAATACTGGAGAAGATTGCTGATGACGATGTAGACATGACTCTTGGCAACTCTCGTGCAACTATTGATATTTTACCTGGTGGCGTTTCTAATAAAAAAAAACAACAAATGAAAAGAGTATTTATTTGCCAAGACAATAAAATTTCATTCCTACAAAACTGATTATGTAACATGAACGACATCACTTGATTTTTGTCGTTTCTTTTTAAGATTCTCGCAGTTTTATACACACTCTTTATTTTTGTCTTGTGAAAATGTGCATGCAGTGCGATAGTTTCATATGTTTACTTTTTTATGTTGTATGTTCATATTGCTTTTTTCATCAATCAAAAAATAATTTACCTACCTTTTAAGTTAAAAGCATTTCAAGTAACCGAAAAACAGCCACATCTAGTTAGTTGTATTCAACATTCTCAGCCGCCGTTATAAGCTTTCTTCAATGATTATGATATGCATCAAGTTTATTGGATTCTGTTTCACGCTGCAAATAGAAACCGGAACATGTTATATTTGCAGTTAGAGGAATACTTTATTAAAACTCGATGTTCATTGTCTTGATTATTTGTTTCTCTTCTTTCTGAGAACAATTATATTGGACAACAAGCATATTCTAGAATAACCGATACGTAAATAATGTAAAAGCAATATTTTCCTTAAGCTGAAACAGTCACACATACTCATATAGGTCTTTTCAGGGAGCTACTTGGACTGTAACTGAGATGAGCATGGCACAGAGGATTGGCTTATGGTGTTGCAATGCAAATGTTCGACTACCAATACTACTATTGTCAGCCGTGTTGCTTCAGAATTCACATGCACATCTCAAATAACTACTTTGTCAAAGCAAACGAAAGTTTTCTAACTCTTATCTGTAATGGAGGAGGCGGAATAATGAACATGGAAATTTAACTTTACGCACTTAACTTTTTCAGAACAAGATTCTTTTTTTGCAGAAGAAACGAAAAAAAAATAAACTTCCAACAATCAACTGGTTGTAGTTTACATTCAAGTTTATTAATACGCTTTCAGCGTGATAATCTCCAAAACAATATGGCACGCATAAGCGTACATTCCAATCTGAGAATTGGTATATAGTGCGAGTGTGAGTGTGAGTGAACATCCTCTCTTCATGCATATGCACACTAATACACTACCATCTATATTTCGATTCAAATGCAATTTTCATTTAACACAAAAAGACTTGAAATGTATCTTTAATATTTTGTTCGCATCTCTGTGAAAATAGGATCAAAATGTGAAAAAATTATTACCAATAGGATCAGTACAAAACACTCTACAAGCCTTGAAAATTGCAATGGATTTTAACGTGGTCGCCGAATCGACTAGTGATATCCTCAAGGCTCTAACCCACAATTTAAAAACAGAGAACGGATTTCTTTATGTTACGCCTTTCAAATGAAACGGAATTAATACTTCTTATTTCGAAACTCACATTTTGTAATGCATGATATTAGTGTAGATCAGAGCATAGTTTGCAACTTATGACAAGAAAAGGTGCATTCAAAGAAACATGTAAACCTTTGCGTTCATTGAATATCAACCTTCAACTATAACCCATCAGATTTAAAATTTTTGAATCCAAATCTGGATCTGTACTATTCGTACTTTCAATGAAATTTTCTACTCTGAGTCTGATAATCATTTCAGAGATGCTACATCCTTTTTTTTATTATTTTTTCGGTGACTACCATTGTTCAGCGTGTTGAAAATATTTGATTGCATCTGAGATGAATCGCTGAAGAGGAAAAAATTTGAGCATCGTCAATCAAATCTGACTCAAAGCATCCTGTATAGTTTTTATTCATTTGCAACAAAGGAGCATAACTTTAACTCATTGCATATTTATGTCACCAAACTTAGTCACATGAAACTCAATTGTTTCTCTGAAAAAATGCTCATAGTAGAGTCCTGCGGGGCAGTTCTGAATCTCGAAAAATTCTGTTTGTCTTGTTCCGCTCGACAATCGGAACAGTCCCGAAACTTTTAGAGATGGAATATTCGAGATCGGGACATTTCGAAACTTTTTCGGGACGTGACAAATGGAATTCGAGGCACGACAAAAGTTTGTCCTGCCGAACTCTAGTTCGTAGTTGCTGTTGAAGGTGGCGAAAAGTTGTAACGCTTGTACAAAGTTCGGATGCACTAAATCAGTATTTTAAACTCATGAAATCAGAAGCAAACGCTTGAGCCCTTCTTCATCTATAAAGCCTGAACCAAGGATAAGCTTTCGCTTACTCAGGCTCCAGGGTCCACTAACTATGGTTTGTAGTAGATTAAATGTGAATTAATTTCATCACAACGCATCATATGCTAGGAGCAAACAAAAAGCTAACAGTCATATATAATTTTTATCTTGAATGGAGTCTCTCGAAGTCTTTTTATCTCTCCAACTTGCATGAACCCAAGATTATCCAAGGCTTCACTTCTCCAATCTAGAGTAGGCCCACGCCTGCCCAAACCTAATGGTTCTCTCGCCCGCTCCCATGGATATACTGCTTTCTCTCGATATGCAGGCCTGGTACTACCGGACTAATGAAAGAAGGGGTCCACATCTCTTCACTGTTGATAAATTTGTTGCATTCTGTTCTTTTTCAAGAAAATCACCGTAGTGAAGAATGTCTAAATAAAACAATGGGATTGGCCAATCAGTCCATAATCTAACATCATAAAATAGAGTTGTTTTTTTCTCTATATGTCACTCACAAGCGCAAACATCACACAAACACTCCATTAGATTAAGTCAATGAAATCAGTCAATGAGAAAGAAATGAGTTTTTAATGCTTCGTCTGTCTCTTATGTTATTGTAACATTAGCAATTTCAGTCGCTGAACAGCATGAATAGTTTGTTAGCCAAAAACTAATAACATATATATCACCAGCAACTGTTGCAAATGTTTGACTTATTGTATCACCATACTGACTACAGCGATCGTAATAGTAATAGCTTCCTGATTTAGCATAACTACTTCCGGAGTACGCCGTACCAGTGTAAAAGTAACATGAACCCGAATAACTCCATCCAGTTAGAGCACCGGCTTCAAAACCCCCATTCACAATTAATTGTGTCAAACCATGATAAACATTAACATCGTCTAGCATCCAACCACCGGGATCATGACGAAAAAAGAAGGATAATGTTGCTGATGATCCAGTTGCTACCCAAGTGTATGCATAACAAGTGTAACTAGGATAAGCGAATGATGCTGGATTTGTAACAGAAAACAATGTTCCACTTGATCTTGATTGAGGTGTACATGGCGGAACAGCCGTAACTAGAAATATAAGAAAATAATTTCGTCTTATCCCTGACAAATGAAAATTACAGAAAGATTTGTGCAGACATCACTGTTATATAATGATATTTTGAGGGTGTGGGTGTGGGTGTCGGTGTGGGGTGTGGGTGTCGGTGTCGGTGTCGGTGTGGGTGTGGGTGTGGGTGTGGGTGTGGGCGTGGGTGTGGGTGTGGGTGTGGGTGTGAGTGTGAGTGTGAGTGTGGGTGTGGGTGTGTGGGTGTTGGTATGGGTGTGGGTGTGGGTGNTACAAAGTTTGACCAAAAGTAACCGAGATCGAAGAAACCAAATCTGTAATCGGTTTCTCAAAGTTTTGAGTTTCATTTTTTCATCATCGAAACGTTTTTGTTTCGAAAATAATAATTTTTACAGTGTGACCAAAGTAATCGAAGCCGAGGAATCAGAATCTGGGATCGGTTTTTCAGAATTTCGAATTCGGTTTTCGAAGAAAAATTCATTTTTTTTCAAAAAACACATACACTATTGGTCAAAAGTATCCTCTTCAGATCTCAGCTACTGTACGAGCTGTGACAGTGAAAATTGCAGTCTTTAAGATTCTCGATAAATGTAGATCAGTGACGAAACCTGCGTCCCGAAAGAATGAGACACAAGAGATTATTAGCTAAACTATCTATAGCCATTGTGCAATCTATAATTTTGCAACAACGAAATCTTTTGAGCTCAGGCTTTCGCTATTTTAACTCTCTGCATATTGGCTATCTCTGGTAAGAGTTTCATCAACATTCACTGAGCTCTTGTGAAACTGAACTCATTTTATTAAAGATATGGGTGACAGAAAAAACCGTCAGTAAGCAATGTGTTTGCCACAATTCAGTCTAGAATTGACATATGGATCTCAAACTTACAGCTAAGAATGTCCCATAAATATTTACCATCCTCTAAAAGTTTCATCCTTATATCACTTACTAGAGGAAATGGTGCTGTGCTGAGTGTGTAAATACTGTCACAGGTTTAGATACTCAAATACTCAACCAAATGGCTTCATCTTTGAAGCATATGAACAGCATGTCTAGAGGCATAGTTATATCGACACATAATCACAAAATTTTAAAGGTAACACAGAAAACTAGCGATGAACTTTCTAAGTCAGTCCTTTTTCGCTAATGGGCACTATTGTGATTATGTGTGAAGATTTAATCCTTTTCATAACCATACATGTACTATCGTCCTATCCATCACTATGATGCTTGTCCTCATTCATCATCGGCATAAAAACGTTTGGAAGATCATTGACACATATGATTTCGATGACTAAATAACTTTCAAGGCTCGTCAATAAGCAAAAAGCATCTCTCCATCATATTTTCTCAAGAGTGTAGAGCAATAACAAAAAAGGTTCAGATAGTGAAAAAAAATGACTAAAAGCGTTCATCTCTCACTTTCTCTGTTACCTTGCAAATTTTTAATTAATTTATGATAGAATTATGCCCCTAGACATGCTGCTTTTATGCTTCAAAGATGAAGTCGTTTGCTTGAATATTCGAGTTTCTAGACCCACGACAACAACTTCACATTCAGCTAAGTGCCATTTCTCTGCAGTAAGTGATGTAAGACTGAAAATTTTAGAGAATGCTGTATATCAGTGGGACCCTAAAATATACATTTGGGGTCTATATGCCAATTCCAGGCTGAGTTGTGGGGGACGCGTTGCCTACTGACTATTTCTCATGCCACATGTGTCTTTAGTAAAATGAGTCTAATTTCATAAGGACTCGATAAACATTGATAAAATTTTTATCGGAAATAGCCAATATATAGAGCTTTTAAATAATGGAAGATTGAGTTCAAAAGGTTTCATTATTGTCAAGTTATAGATTCTACAATGATCATAGATAGTTTGATGAATAACTTGCTTGTGACTCATTTTTTCGGGATGGCGATTTTGTTCCTGATCTACATTTATCGAGCATCATCGAAACTGCAATTTTCAGTGCCACAGCTTGGATAGCGACTGAGATCCGAGGGGAGACGCTGTTAATCAGTACTGTATTCTAACAGAAACCTTTTTTTGCTAAAAACTTATCTCTTTTATGAAAAGTTATTTTTTTATGAAAGAATAATTTTCTTATCGAAAAAACTAAGCTTTTAACAACAAAGAAATCATTGCAAAAAAAGAATTTATTATATAGAGGATAAGTGTTTTTCCAAAGGAATAATTTTTTTGTTCAAATATTTTTTTGAAAGAAATGACTTTTTTCTTGCAAAACTGAACTCAAAATTCCGAAAAATCGATCCCAGATTCTGATTCCTCAGCTTCAATTACTTTGGTCACACTGTAAAAATTATTGTTTTCGAAAANTATTATTCGAGGTTGCATATGTTAAATCTTTTTCGAGATTTGAGAGATCTCGACAAGGTTCCAGTACCTGAACTTGGTGTTTATTGTCCTGATGAATCGAATCCTTTTCTGTTACATTGTAACGTACGTACTTCAGCAAGCATTTTGTCAACATATGAAAATAAGTGACTCATTGCTTCGGTATTGATTAATGATGAACCCTATCATGGAATTATGATACACTTAATTCTTCATATTCCAGAAGATTATCCATTGACAGGTCCAGCAGGAAATATAGCACCTGGTTTAGAGTTCGATTCTAGATACCATGGTCATATTCATGAAGACCATTGGTATGACTATATTAAATCTCATGACTGATGACGGACTTTTCAACTTGATTTTTTGATTTCAGAAATAAACATTCTTTGTGCAACGATCTACTGACGAACTGCGTGCCTCATTTCCGCTCCATCGATGAATGTGCTGTCAAACAACCTACTGGTTGGAGGTAACTATACAACTTTTAGGTATTGTCTAGTTTTTTTTATTTGTTTTTTACGTACTCTTAGTCCTGACTATAGTTTATCAACCGTCCTTCTTCAAATCGTGGCATTTCTCGCAGATCCTGATTTAAGATTTACATCCTCTTGAGAGAGTATTGATCATCTTCGTGATATGGTGAAACATTTTATATGTAGAGCATGTGGTCATTCTTATGCTAAACTAATCCCGACTATAATCAATTATACTGAAGCAACATCAGATAAACAACAAGCAAAACAAAAACCTATGTCGAATGAAAAAAAGAGCAATTAAAACTGAAACGTGAGTTAATGGAAAAATTAACCTGCGGTATGACAAAACAAAATGTCATTGAAGATAACATTTGTCTGGACTATCCATTATTGATCAAACGTGATAATCGCGGTGGTTTGCGGCCGGAAATCATTTTGGAACTCATCACTTATGATGCATACGTTGCAGAAATACAATAATCGGGCGGAGAGAAATTAGATTTTTATGAACATTTGAGATTCTGTTTTGTGACAGGAGCGGATTACAATCATTGGTTGCCTTTGTATATTAATCGTGAGTATTTTCAGCTAGGACGAACAATTATTCAAAATAGTATTAGTGTCATTTTTTTATGGTATTGCTCAGGGTAGTGCAAACTATGATTTTGCTCCACATATGGCATTGAGTGTCTTGACTACCTTAATGCATAGATCAGCTGTTCGATTATTTAATGATGAACTGTTTGAGTCATACACGGGGGATAGAGGCTTATTGCCATTTTTTACGTTTATTAATGCATTTTATTGATATTTATTCTGAATTAGGTACGATCAAAATATCTACGACCTTATAACAGAATATCATTTATGTTTGTTTTTTTCTTCTTACTAGAGCATAAAATTAATAGGACTATAGCAGATTTCGAAACAGGATTACCTGGTGGTCGTTATAAAAATTGCGTTATCAAGAAAATATAATTTTAATGATTTGAAAAAATATGTCTATGGAGAATGTTTTGCTCGGCAAATCTATTGGATTCAACGAGACACTGGTATTCGAAACTTGTTAGATATACAAACAGAAGATTTTCCGAAGATATTTCGATCGAGAAAAGTATCGTATCATCTATGGGTATTCAATCAAGAAATGGCTGAAACATTTATTTTTCCAGGTACAAAACAGTAAGTGTCTGCTCAGGTCAAGAAGTATAAGTCGGTTACAGTATGAAAACATTAAGTATTGATGAAACATGGAAGCAGTATTCTGAGTCGAAAAGGTGCCAGACTTTTTTCCGAGATTTCTTACCGTTTGAAAAAAGAACGAACAGAAAGTTGATCGAAAGCCACTAAAAATTTTCCGATCCGGAATACTGCTTCCATCGATTGTCTATATTTTCTTACCGAACGTGACAACTTTTCTAGCGAGTTTCAGCGAAATACGTTTGTTTTCGGAGCCTGGAATTATTGACCTCGATTGACTTATGTCAATGATTTTGGCGTCCAAGTCCGATAGTCTTCAGTCAGAAGATCCTGAAAAATGGTAGGAACTTGAAAGAAAAGATTCGGCAGTTAATTTTTTCTAGTAGTTGGCAGAACCAATCACTCGATTCCTGCTTCGAAGTTCCTACCATTTTTCCTACCCGAATGTGACAATGTTTCTTCATTTGAATAGCATATCTAATTTTATTTTATTTCTACTAACTCTCTACATTACTCGTTTTGTTTTAGACGCTTGGATCGTTTATATGGATTTCCAGCAGCGACTGTTATACAAACATTTCAACAGCGTCTAAAATTCATTAAATCGATCGATCAATATAGTGTGCTCATTGATGCTATACGCTTAAATGATAGAATCAAATCAATGGAAGATATGCTTCATTTAATAAAACGTTCTGTACACATAGCAAATCAACAAGGGTATACTACTATACTATCCATTACTGAGCAGCGTCAAAGATGGAACGAACAACGACGGAGAGAACGAAGGCCGAGGCAACAGAGATTGAGGGAAGGAAGATAAAATAATGAACTTCTCTGAATTTAATATGATATTTGATCGTTGACCATTCGCAAAAGAATCATCTTGAACGATCTTGATGACCGATAACCGAGAGTGTCACTAAAATATCTTTTAATTTGGATCAGTTTCAATCATTTGTTTATCTAAATGTCACATTTAATTCAGATCTATTTTATTGCATAATATCATATTCTAATAAATGACAGATATACTTAACTATGAAGAGAACCAATATCATAGTTCGTTTATTCTTTATCTTAAATGTTCACTGAATAATTCATAATCTATTTGACTATGGGCTGAAATCAAATTGAATATTTTCGTATGAGGTTTCGTAGTTTGTCATTGAGTATTTCAAGTTTTCTAATAAAACCCATCGAATGACAAAAGCGTTTTTCTTTAAAATAACTTGACAGATATAGAAAACTATTTAATAATTATCTCGTTTGAACAAATACTCGAAACACAGATAGAGATAATTTAGATATGATAGTAACACGTTTTTCGTATGTTTTTGAAGGATCTGAAATCCTTCGTAATTTTGAATTTAATAATTCAGAATTTTGCGCTTCATGCAAATTATTATCAAACAATTCTAGTAAGGTGTATTGTGAAACTGGAAAAAACTTTGAAACATGTATTCACCATGGTTTTTTTCAAATTATTGGAAAGATAATTATTCTGTTTATTTTATTAGAAAACAAAAATTGACGGTTAAACATAAAGAATTGAAATGTTTTGAACTGGAATGGGGCAAACGATAAGATTAATCGAAGATGAAGTCAATACGTGTTCTTTCTTTTCTGCTGCATTGAATTATTTGTTGTAGAATATATATAATCTGGAACATCTGTAAGAAAATCGACTATGTAAATTTTCGGTATTTTGACATAGAGACAGTCTACATTATCTGCATCAGAGTTTAAACTAAAATCGCCTTTTTGGAGCTCGGTCGAACCGAGTCACAAAACATAAGTTTGATTTGGCATCACAATTATTCTTTGATTAATCTGAAGATGAGATCTTATAGAGAACATAATTCTGTTTAGAGTGATATTAGTCTTAGACATTT